ATCCAAAATTACTTTACATTATTAAAGTAAACAAAAAAGTAAACAAGATGTAAGATATGTGCTAACAATGTGTTTTCCACTTTTACAAATCAAGGAAATAAAAAACTTCATTGGCCTTCAGATTCAAAACATAATGTTCATTGTGTAGTTCTTCTCATCTTTGGATCTCCCATAGTCTTAAAAATAATATATATATAAATTTGTAACTATAAACAACTCTTCTCATTAACTTACAATAGTTGTTCATCACTTTAAACTTTTAATAAGTAAAACCAACAAAGTCTTGTAAGAAGTAAAACCAATAATTTTTATAATTATAAACAAGTAAGATATAATGAGTTGGTGAACTCTTCCAACTTCATTTTCATGTACACATTATATACTTCTTGAAATTATTTAACACTTTTAAAAGTTAAAAAACTTATTTTAAATGATGAATTTTATTCAGGACCCAAATATTGTCTAAAACACATGAATTAACAATAAAATATAAAGAATTTTTTTTGAATTTGAAGAAAATGAAAGTTTATTATACATTGTCGTAGAAGATTTACCTGGAAATCTTCCCGGAGAAGACTTTTAGGTAAGTCATCTAGCAGAAGACTTCTGTAAGTCTTCTGGCAGAAGACTTCCAGATAAGTCTTCCGTTAAGGTCATTTTTGCAATTGAAAATTTTCAAAGGAAGACTTCTCTCGAAGTCTTCCTATGTAAATATTGGCTTACTTTTCTAATATAAAAATTCTCAAAAATACATGAGAAGACTTTCCTGGAAGTTTTCTTGGATAACAGGTTAGTTTTGCAATTGACCAATCTGTGTCAGAAATTTGACTTTCTACGGAAGACTTCCAAGTAAGTCTTCTGCCGGAAGACTTACCTGAAAATCTTCTGCCGAAAGACTTACCTGAAAATCTTCTCAACCTTTACATTAAGTCTACTGAAATCTGCGTAGGTTACTTTTGCAAGACTATATTTGACTTTTGTTGAGAAGAATTATTCCGGCTAGAAGACTTGTAAGTCTTCTTTGATTACCTTAGGTTTGACCAGAATCACATAATAAAAATCTGGAAGACTTCCAAGTAAGTCTTCTGGCAGAAGATTTATCTAGAAGACTTCCAGGTAAGTCTTCCACCCTGAAGACTTACCTGGAAGTCTCCCAATTTAAATTAAATGTTTTAAGTTTAAATTTTCAATTACAAAAGTAACCTACGTAGACTCCAGTAGAATTAATGTAAAGGTTGAGAAGACTTCCATGTAAATCTTCCGTAGAAAATCAAATTTCTGACACAAATTGGTCAATTGTAAAACTAATCTATTTATTCGAGAAGACGTCCAGGTAAGTCTTCTCAATTTTTTTTGCCAACGAAGAAAATTCAAAAATTTCCACCACAGTCTTTTCTAAAAACACACACAGAAATTCAATTACAAAACTAACATATTCTTTGACCAGAAGACTTTCTAGAATGAGAAGACATACGAAGACTTACCAAGACTCACAAAAGTAAGTCTTCTAGCGAACATATCTGAAAAAAAAATAATAATTCATACCATCAAGCCCTGAGAGAACTTGCTTAGTTCTCCAAGCACACACAACTTAACTAGAACATCTACTCAATCGTTAATGACCAGAAATCGTGAGTTTGGATAGTTATATGACCCTTAAAAACTTTACAATCAAAAAGCTTGGATTTTTTTTGGATGAATATAGCTAGAAAGTGAGAGAGATGTAGTTTTTGGGCATAAGTTTTGAGTAGGGCTGGGCAAAAAAATCTGAATCAAAAAATCCGAACCGAACCCGACCCGATAAAAAGGAATCTGAACCGATCCGAACCCGATATAAATACCGAATGTTTTACGGTATTCCGGGTTATGGGTTTTACCGAACCAAACCCGAACTTAAATGGATATCCGAAAGAACCCGATATTTTAAATTACAAAAAAACTTGTACCATACCTAATCTAAATTTGTAATATGTTTCCAAAATACATTAATATATTGTCAAGTACCAACAATAATTATTTATTATATGGATAATTAACTCAGATATTTAGTCTAATATATAGTGTTATTTGGTTAATATTTTAATGTTTATGATTGACATTACATTTGAAGTTAAGTTACGAATAATTTTTGTTTTTGAAGTTTAAACATTGTTGTTTTTTAGAAAAAGTTTAAATAGTACGTTTTACGTTTATAGAATTTTTAGTTGTTAACTTTTTATATTTCATCATGTATTATTTACGTTCATACAAGATTTTGGTTTGTCATTAATCATGATATGTTTAGTAATGTAACATATAGTTCAATGACAAATCTTATATGGTTGATAGACGAGTTTCACAATATTATTTTGAAAGAGAACAATATGGTTTGTAGAAGCTAAATACACAAAATTAATAAAACGATTGAAAATATAGTGAGCTTAATTAAGTATAAATTAGTATTTTTAGAACCGATAACCCGATTAGTATCCAAAACCTTACTATTTTAGGTTCAACCGGATCTTGGACATGTTGCTAAACTCGAACCGAACCCTACTAAATCCGAACCGAATCCGACTCGAATTTTTATAATGTCTGAATGGAGCTGAAATTCATGAACCCGAAAACTCGAAACCCGAATAAACCCGAACCGAAACCCGATTGGAACCCAGATTTCCCAGTCCTAGTTATGAGAATGAATGAGTAAATTTTGTTTTTAGATGCATTAAGAGCTTCATTTTGGTTGTTTATGGTTGTTGAGCGAATTGATGGTAGTGGCATTTTTGTGATTAATTGATGAAGATGATGAGGAGAGTATAAAACACTTATTTTTTATAAAAAATGGCATTTTTGTAAATAATCAGAAATTCTAGGGTGGATTGGGCAAATCAAATTTCCAAAAAAAGAATGTTTTGTGTTTAACTTGGAGTTTTGAGTTATGTTTCCAACAAGCCCATGGTTCTTTGTTTCTTTAGTGGAACACTAAGTGTTTTGTCAACATATGCGGATATAATCTTCTTACAAATATTTATTATTTATGTTCTATTAATTCAAAAATCAGTATAAGAAATTTATATTTATGTTTCAAAAGTTTAGATTAACATCAAATTATTTGTAAATGACAAAGTTTTTTATGAAAATATATGTTTATTATTGTGTTGAAACTTAAAAAACACTCACATATAAATAAATACTAGGGATATAGCCCCCGAGCAAGCGCGGGATAGGAGACATATTTGATGTATTCTATAATTTTATTATATCTTTTGATGTTTGATATATAAGCTGAACCGATATGACGTGTGAAGTTTTTCGTATTAGTTAATAAAGTTCTGAAAGTCATATATATCGGCAACCAATATGCAGTCTTGTTAAATGCCAAATGTTCTTCTCAATCTTCTCTAATTCTCAAAATTTGCCATTTTTATGTTTCGGGAATTCCAGATATGGAAGTGGCGAGCAACCATAAACTGAACAGTTCGACCAAGGTAGAGAGAATCGAAAGTTGAGAGTCATGCAACGGATTTAGCAACTCGAGAAGATGTAATAAAATTTGACTGGAAGAAGAATTAATGAGAGAATCAGAGATGAAGTGTTCCTCCATTTAGATAGAATATATATTAAGCGTAATGCAGGATGTGTTACGAACATGGTCCATTATTAATTAACAGAGTAAAAATGGATCCATTATGCAGTCTTGTTAGATGCCAATGTTCTTTTTAATCTTCTCTAATTTCCATAATTTTTCTATTTTTTACGTTCCGGGAATTCCAGAAACGGAGGCGGTTAACAACTAAAACTAAGTAGTTCAACCAACATAGATATAATCAATAGTTGATAGGCATGCAACAGCTTTACGCTTCGATTGGTACATTTGATGATATAGCAGTAGTAATATGCTGTAGAACCAGTATACTGCAGAAGTTGTATGATCTCACTAAAGATTTAATATAGTGATTGATAGAGCATTAGAAGTATACAATTTTATAATTATCATAAAAATGGTATATAATATATTTATAGTAAAATAATATATATTTCTATTTATATATTTCTAATATATATTAATAAACTATTTTAATAAAAATAATGAATCTTATTCAGTTACATAAATTATTTTATTTTTAAAAGTGAAATATTTATATTTAAAAAATTTAAATTAAATATATATATTTTATACTAATTATTATTTATTTGATTATTGGTAGAGCACTAAATGATTAATTTATTTATTTTGAAATAATATAGATATGTTTACATCTATAATATATAATTATAATAAATTTAGGTTTGTTATTAAAAATATTGAATGATATGTGTAATTATATGAGTTATATTATATCTTAAATGTGAATTACTATTTTTAAGTTAAAAAAATTTAATAGCAATTTGTTTTTGGAAAAAAAACATTTTAAGTTTTATATTTTCTAACTACAAATGTTCTTTTAAAAGCTTCATATGAGAGCATTGAGAATTAGCATTTGGAGAGTATTAGCATCTTGTAAATGCTTTTCTAAATGTTTTTCTCATAAATGGTTATTGGATAATAAAGAACATAATATTTATAATAATGTTCTACCAGTCAAACCTTTAACATTTAGAAAAAAAAGAAACTTTACTATTATTATATAAATTTAGAAATCATATTTTTACATAAATGTTTTTTCCTAATGAATATTTAATTATAAATTATTTATCTTTAGTTTTAAAAATTTATAATATAAAATATTATTTTTAGATAATAACAAAATATACACAAGAATTATCTTAGTTTTTAATATGTTTTGTTTCTGAATAAAGAAAATAAGCCGGTTGGTTAAGGCTTCACGTCATTCTCCCAAATCAGCGCCGGGACAGCCAAGACGCAGAAACATGAGTATTGACGACGCCGTGGCATCATCATCGGTGTACTCCATGTTCCACAAAAATTAAAATGGCACCATCATCGGTGTACTCCATTAATGTTTATTTATATATATATATATGCATATCCTCGAACTGAAAGTAACTTGATCGGAGAAATGGCATCATCGGTTTACTCCACCCTAACCTACTGGCTCGTGCACCACCCCTACATCGCCAACTTCACATGGAAAGAAGGTGAAACCTTCGGCTCCACTGTCTTCTTTGTCTCTGTCGTAGTCTTCGTTTTCCTCTGCGCCACTTTCCTCCTCTGGTACGCCATGGACTCACTCCCCTCACTCAGTCCACGCATCCTCAAACTAATCAGACTCGTCCACACCTTCGTCCTCTGCCTCCTCTTCATGATTATGGCCGTAGGTTGCACTCTCTCCATAACCTCGTCTCAAGACCCAAAGGCACACCTGATATGTTTCCCCGTTGATGTGAAACCTAGCGGACCGGTTTTCTTCTGGGCTCAAGTCTACTACCTCTCGAAGATCCTCCAGTTCGTAGACATACTTGTCATGATTGTCTCAAAATCAGTCCACCTGCTCTCGTTTTACTACGTGTATCACCACGGGACAGCTGTGGTTATGGCCTACCTCTGGCTCCACACCCGCCAATCTATGTTTCCCGCTGGGATCGTGATAAACTCCATGGTATACGTCATTCTGTACGGTTACTACTTTCTCCGCGCCGTCGGATTGAGGCCCAAGTGGAAGATGTTTGTGAAGAGTTATCTGATTCTTGGATATCTTGCAATCTTCACTGTAGGATTCGGTTGGATGGTCCAGCATTATTTCGGGTCAGGTTGCTCTGGGATTTGGGGAGTTTATTTCAACGGTGCGTTTGTTTCTTCTCTCGTGGGTCTCTTTGTCTACAAGAACTATGTCAAGAAGGAAATGATTAAATTGTGTCTTGGATTATTTCCCAAAAGAAATGATTAAATTGTGTCTTGAATTATTATATACTATAGCTTGACCGTACACATCCACACAGATATGTATTTATTTTAATAAAATAAATACATAGAATTCTTTAGAACACAAAAATGATATGTGTTGTTTTCGATTTATAGTGTATAACATTTATGAAAAATTCGCGATTTTTATTGGGGAAAATTGCCAAATATGACTCAAAACTTGATTTGAAATGTAAAAATAAACCAAAACTTGAATCAAATGCAAAAGTAACTTAAAAGGCTGTTGAAATTACAACCAACCCCTTGTGAACAAATAAAAAAAGTGTTTTTTTTTTACGTTTGAAGCTCTCGCAAATCGTCTGGGACAGTTTTTCTTAAAAATAATTTAAAAATTGTGTAATAAATTTTTTGATAAATGAAAAATTGGAATTATGTAATTAACATATGTCTTAAGAGATATAAATTAATATATAACAAAAGTCAGTTGTTTTCAGCATAGATGAGTGAAAGTATTGAGTCATGATATTCTTTAGTTTAGGTTTCACCAACATATGTTGTAGTATTGTATGTGTTTCTTAGGGTTAGATTTTCGAAAGCATAAATGTTTTTTTGAAAAATTAAAAATTTACCTAAGTGTGTTTATTTCTGTGTATAGTAAACAATATTTAAGTATAATTTGATTTTATAACGTGGACGACCCAGACGACTTAATATAAGTCTTCCAGACTTAGAATTAAAATGTTTCGTTTTCGTTTCTTGTTTGCAGATGGCGAATCAGCATGAACCTCACTTCTTGAAGCCTCTGCTTCCTGGTTTCTGCAGTGGCGTGGTATACACACGCTCTCTTTTTCTCCTCTGCTTATTTCCTTTGCTTAACTTCTCCTTTGTTGACTTGTAGACAATACCACTTGCCTTCTACTCAAAACACATAGAAGGGAACCAAGGAAAATGGACACTACGATCGGACGCTTCACACCAAACTTGGGAAGTTATACAAGAAAGAAGAAGACTCACCGATGGTTGGGAAGCCTTCGCCCAAGCACACTCCCTTTGCATCGGTGACATTCTCGTGTTCAAAAAGGAAGGAGACATGGTATTTCATGTGACTCCTTTCGGTCCTAGTTTTACTGAGATTCAGTATACACCTCCTCAAGGGGATGATGCTGCGGATGGTGCCTCAACTTCCTCGTCTCTTCCTAA